TGTGTCCACCAAAGTTGTAGCACCTCTAGGACAGAGATTGTGTAATTTCCTTCTACCCTCTCCTCAACCATTTTGAGTCTAGCATGGGTCTGGACACACAGTAGGGGCTCCTTAGATGTCAGATTCTGAAACCCAGCCTCTCTCATCTAGATAGAGCACTGAAGTCTCCCCAACACTAATATCTTGTTCACAGGTACTTTTCTTTGGAACATTGTGAGAAACTGTCAGTTATTTTTCAAAGTTGTCATATCATTTTTCAGTCTCACAGTGTATGAGAGTGTAAATTCCCTACATTCTCTTAGTAAGGTCAGTGTTTGTTTTGTTTTTTGTTTTTTATTGAGGTATAATAACATATAACATTATATTAGTTTTGGGTGTACAACATAAAGTTTCAATATTTGTATATATTGTAAAATGATCACCACAGGAAGTCTGGTTTACATCTGTCACCATACATAATTACAAAAATATTTTTGTTATTCCTTGTTATGAGAGGTTTCAATTTTAACTTTTTAATAGATATGGCCAACATTTTGTATGGTAAGTCTTTTTAGTTTTAACATTCTAATATGTGTGTAGTGATATATCTCTGGGGCTTTAATTTCATTTCCTTAATGATTATTAATGTTGAGCAACTAATAACGTAGGTATATCTTCTTTTTTGTGAAATATCTGTCAAATCCTTTGACTATTTTTTTAAATTAGCTTTTTTCTTCTCATTATTGTGTCTTTGAGAATTCTTTTTATATTTTGTGTTCAAGACCTTTTTCAGATATATTACTTATAAATATTTTCTCCCATCTATGGCTTATGATTTTATTCTTTTAACAGTTTTATTCAAAAAGACATGATGAAGTCCAGTTTGAAGTAGTCTAATTTCCAGTGATTTCTTGTATGAATTGTAATTTTCATGTTTTTATAAGAAACTTCTCCTAACTCAAGATCATAAGGTTTTTCTCCCCTATGTTCTTCTAAAGTTGTTATAGTTTTAGATTTCACATTTAAGTGTATTATCCATTTTATGTTACTTTTGGTATTCAGTGCAAGGTTTTGTTAAAAGTACATTTTGTTGAGTATGGATATTCAATTCTTTCAGCATTCTTTGCTGAAAGACTGTATTTTTCCTGATGAATTGCCTTTACTCCTTTGTGGAAAATCAGTTGTACACACATGTATGGATCTATTTATGGACTCTGTCCTGTTCCATTGATCTCTTTTATCTTTATTCTAATACCATACTGTCTTGATTACCATAGCTTTATTGTCAGGTTTTAAACCAGGCCATGTTCCTACTTAGTTTCTCTTTTCAAAGTTGTTTTTGCTGTTCCGCATTGTTTGCTTTCCATAAAAATTTTAGAATCAGCTTGTAAATTTCCATCAAAAACAAAAAAACCAAAGAAAGAAATCCTGATAAGATTTTGAATGGGTCTGCATTGAATGTATAGACCTATTTAGGGAGAATTATCAACTTAACAATATTGAGACTTCCTACCCATGATCACAGTGTATCTCTTGATTTATTTAGATCTTTAACTTGTTTGTGCATTGATTTGTGATTTTTAGGATAAAGGTCTTATACATCTTTTGTCAGATTTATTTCTATGTATTTCGTGAATTTGACACTATTTAAATAATATTGTTTTTAAATCTCAATTTCCAACTGTTTATTGTTAATGTAAAGAAAAATCTTGCCAAAGTCACTTATTAGTTCTAGTAACATTTTTGTGTACTCCATTGGATGTTCTGCATACACGATCATGTCCTCTGCAATAAAAGTTTTTTAATTACTTCATTCCAATGTGGATGCCTTTTATTCCTTTTTTCTTGCCCTATTGCTATGGCTACCACTTCCAGTACAGTATTGAATAAAAGTGATGCACATACTTGTCTTATTTCTTATCTTGGGGGAAAACAGTCATTCACCACTAAGTATGACGTTAGTTGTAACGTTTTCATAAATACCCTTTAAAAAATGGAGGAAATTCTTTTTTTTCTTAGTTTGCTGCAAGTTGTTATTAGGAATGAATTTTGGACTTTGTCAAATTCTTCATCTGCACCTATTGACAGAAACATATTTGTTCTTTTTTAATTTGTTATTATGAGCTTCATTGATTGATTTACGAAATTTAAACCATCTTCACAGTCCTGGGTAAAAGCCACTTGGTCATGATGTATTATCCTTTTCACATATTGTTGGATTTAATTTGACAAAATTTTGCTTATAATTTTTGTATCTATATTCATGAGAGACATTAGTTTGTAGTTTTTTTTTTTTTTTCTCATAATGTCTTTGTATCATTTTGGTATCAGAGTATTTTTGGTCTCATAGAATGAGTTAGGAAAAGATTCTCTCTTCTTCAATGTTTGGAAGGATTTGTGTAAAACTGGTATTATTTCTACCTTAAATGTTTGATAAAATTCACTAGTGAAATTCTCTGGGCCTAGGTTTTTCTTTTTGATAGATTTTTAAGTACAAATTCAGTTTCTTTATTAGATATAAGGCTGTTAAGGTTGTTTATTTCTTCCTTTGAGAGCTTTGGCAGGTTGTTTCTTTCCTTTTTCTTTTTTTGTTCCATCTCACCTAAGATGCCAAATTTATCAGCAGAAAGTTATGCATTACATTTCTTCATTATACCTTTAATATTCTTAGAATCTGTAGTGATATCCCTTATCTCATTCCTGATATTAGTAATTACTATCTTCTCTTTATCTTCACTAATCCAGACTTACTAGAGGTATATCAATTTTATTTCCTTCTAATCGCAGCAGCTTTTGATTTCATTATTTTTCTGTTGCTTTCAATGTTCTATTTCACTGATTTCTGTTCTGATCTGTATTATATTTTGTTGACATTTCTGTTGATTTCATGTATTTTGTTTATATATACATTATAAAACATACACTACCATGTTATTACTATTGTTTAAACAATTATCTTTTAAAGAAGTTTACGTAATGTGTAACCTTACATATTTAACCACATAATCGTTATTTCTATTGATTTTCATTGCTTTGTTTAGTTCCACATTTCCATCTGATATTACCTTTGTTCTTCTAGAAGGTCTTCCTTTAACATTTCTTGTAACACAGGTCTGGTGTTGATTAATGCTCTTTGCTTCTGTATGTCTTGAGTACTTTCACACTTCAATTCTGGAAATATTTTGTAGACTGTAAATTCAAGATGGGTAGATTTTTTCTTCCAGGGCTTTAAAGATGTTGTTCAACTGTCTTCTCATTTGCATTGTTTCTGTTTATAAATCTATTGTTAACCTTATCCTTGTTCTAATGCATGTAATGTTTTTTTTTTTCTTCGTCTGGTTGTGTTGGAGATTTTTGTCTTTATTTCCAATTTTGAACAATTTGATTATGATGTAGCTTGCTATAGTTTTCTTCAGATATTTTGTGCTTAAGATTCATTGACCTTTTTGGGTTTGTGAGTTTATCATTTTCATCAAACTTGTAAATTTTCAGGCATTATTTCTTCAAATGTTTTTGTGTCCTCCCCTTTCTTTCAAGTACACCAATTAAAAATATCTTAAGCTACTTGAAGTTGTTCTGCATTGTCACTGTTCACCTTATTTTCACTTTTCTCTCTGTGCTTCATGTTGGGTGTGTGGGCATGCTTTATTCTTGACCATCTATTCCTAGTGCCCACTATGATGCCAGGCACCAGGTTAGAACTCAATAATATTTGTGGAAGGAAGGATAAAGAGCAAAAGGAATTAAGAGAAAGGAAGAAAAAACAATTAAAGTATTAATTAATATTTATGCCATGCTAATTATGCAGCAGGCACTTATCTAGGTGCAGGAAATAAATTTGATGTGACAAAACCATTTCCCAGAGATCGGTATACTGACAAAGTTAATAAGAGGTAAAGAGAAGGAGATGAGGACTGTAAAGTCCTCTCTTTTAACAGGCAAAATTAGTTAAAGTTAAAAGCATAAGTTTTAATCAAACAGATTATGTTTGAGTTCTGGTGCAGTCAAATTTTCTTTGGTTTCCTCATCTGTAAAATGGAAAAAATAATACCATCTGCATTGTAGGGTTGTGGTGAGAATTAAATGAGCTAATGCATTTAAGGGCTTAAAGAATAATAAATATGCTAGCCCCTGTTACTTCTACTGGAAGATGATGCATTTCTATGGCTTGTTCTGAAATATAATTCTTCATTCTTAGGATGAAGAATTATTGCACTTTAAGAAAACAGAGATGAAAATGTGTCATTACAGTCAATGCTACATGTCAAGTCAATGGAACAATGAGAAAGAAAAGCAAATCTCCAAAAACCCTAGCGAGGGTGCCCCAAACCTCAATGAATGATAGCAAACAACACAAGGATATCATTGTACCTGGAGATTTGGTGCAGGATCATTAAATATAGGCTGCAGTGTAAGGAGGTGGGGAAATGGTCTCCAACTAGGGGGAAAAATGGGGAGCCAATTTAATATGAGTATTGGGAAGTTGTCAATGACAAGGATGGTCAGCACACAATATCTCAAGGAAAGAAATTTAACAGACTCTTTGATGAATTATTCTGACTGAGTGACTGTCACTTATAACAAGAGTTCACCCTCTTGATGAGTCTTTCCAGGGCCCCTTTCATGTCCTTGTTCTTGAGGCTATAGATAAAGGGATTTAGCATGGGAGTGATGATCATGTACATTATGGAGGCAATAATGTTGTTCTTTGAATTGCTAGATGATGGAAAATAATATAGTCCAATAATTGTCCCATAGAATATACACACCACAGAGAGGTGGGAGCCACATGTGGACAAGGCTTTGCAGAACCTTTTGGTAGAGGGGATCCTCAGAATAGAGACCCCAATAAGGACGTAAGAGAACAGGATGCCACTCAGTGGCAAGAAGACAGACATTCCCCCTAAAACGAAGATGAGAAGATCATTGATGGAGGTGTCTGAGCAGGAGAGCTTGAGCAGGACGGCAAGGTCACATAAGAAATGGGGAATGGTCCTATTAGCACAGAAGGATAATGGGACTAGTAAGAGTGTATGAGACAGGGCAATGGCACAGGACAGGACCCAGGACCCAATCACCAACAAAACACATAGCTCTACCCTCATGATGCTGTTGTAGTGGAGAGAGTGACAGATGGCCACGTACCTGTCATATGCCATCACTGCAAGAAGAAAGCTATCAAGGCAACCAAATATTATAAAGAAATACACCTGCAAAATGCACCCTGTGTGAGTGATAGATTGGCAATGAGTCTGCATGTTCACCAGCATCTTGGGGACAGTGACAGATGAAAAGGAGACATCAGTGAGAGCCAAATGGCTGAGGAAAAAGTACATGGGAGTTTGGAGGTGAGAGTCCAGCCTGATGAGCAGGATGATGAGCAGGTTCCCCAGCACCGTGGTCAGGTATATGCCCATGAACAGGGTGAAGAACATGCCCTGCTGCTCTGGCAGGATGGGGAGCCCCAGGAGGAGGAACTCAGACACGCTGCTCTGGTTCTCAGGCCTCATACTGTGCTTCCTCATGTAGGGGAGGAGGATGACTTGGGAATCTCAGGAACCTAGAAAAGATGATCAGGACCATCACATCTCGTATTGTAATTCTCTGGGAAAACAATGCTTTTTTAACTACACTCCTATTAATTTTTCACATCTGTGGTGCACGCATCTTCGCCTACCTAGTCTGGCTCCAGGAAAACATCACCCACAAAAGAAGCCAACAAGCCTCATTACACACAGAAGCAAAAGTGTGTTCACTCTTTCATGCAACCATTATTTGTTAAACACTGAGTCTTAGCATGGACCTCTGCTAAGGACCGAGAATATGGGAGTGAACAAGAAAGGCAAGGTCCCTTTCTTCTATGAGTAAAAATTTTTATGAACATACTGGGATAATTTACTACACCAAGACAGAGCCAAACCATAATACTTCACTGTTGCAGAAATGGCAAATGAGCCTCTGCAAACTGGTATCAGCATTTCTGCCTTAAAGTACAGTAGTCCCCCCTTAGACTTGGTTTCACTTTCTGCAGTTTCTGTTCCCTGCTGTCAACTGCAGACATCTTCTACTCCTGACATCCAACCATCGACATAGTCGTAGCTCAATGATCCTCCTTATGACGTCTCATCAGAAGGTCAGTAGTAGCCTAATGCTACGTCACAATGCCTATATCATTCATCTCCCTTTATCTCATCATGTAGGCATTGTATCATCTCACATCATCACAGGAAGTGTGAGTACAGCACAGTAAGATATTTTGAGAGACAGAGCACATTCATATAACTTTTATAATAGTATATTGTTGTAATAGTTCTATTATATTATTAGGTTATTGTTGTTAATCTCTTCTGATGCCTAATTTATAAATTAAACAGTATCATAGGTATGTACGTATAGGAAAAAACGTAATGCACATACAGTTCAGTACTATCCGTGGTTTCAGGCATCCATTGGGGGAATTGGAATGTATCCCCCACAGATAAGGGAGACCACTGTATATTGAGTTATATATATATTATGTATCATGTATACTATATATATATGTGTCTGTGTGTGCCCTCTCTGTCCCCTACTGTACTGTTGTGGGCCTATGGAATTGTATATTTCTATTTCTTAAAAGCTAAAATGAGTGAAAGAACACAAATTCTTGGTGCAGCTGTGAAGATTTTTTTAAATTTGGAAATGTAAGTCTCATTCACAGATTTAATTAGAAAATGTCAGCAAACTCCTTAGCCTCGTACCCAAATGTTCACCATTCTTATGAAAGATAGTTTGTGGACTCTTCTGGTTTGGGAGCTATTCTATCAACAAGCAGTTTTAAATGGTCATTCTCTTCTAAAGTGCCAATGAATTTACAGCTCCAGGTCAATGGGACCTGGCCAGGTTCACTGAAGGAGTGTGACAACGCTCCAATGATGCCACCTCAGCACTAGGGTCTCATGTTACTCTATATGTATTACCATTTTCTGTAAATTAAAAATTACCACGTTTTATCTCTTTCATGTGGTTCAACCTAATATGACTGTGTGATCAGAGCCCAAGCTCTTAACCACTACACAGGCAAACTTCCCCTTTCATTGATCAGGGGAGCAAAACACCCTATATTATTTTAGAGCTGCTGCAAGGAAGCCAAAATTGTCCAAAATTTTCTTGTCCCCTGCCTAGATAATTTCTTTCATTCATATTTATATACTTTCCAACTGAAAAAAATTCTCACATATATTAACTTGTATTTAAACAACACATATTTACTGAGGGCCTATAGGGTTCACGAGGCAAGTGTAATTCTTTCCATTTTATAAATGTGGAATCTGAAGCCAAGGAGTTAAGTACCTTTCCTGAGCTCTCACAGCACTTTGATGGTGATTCTGCTCCCTAATGTCACACAGTATGGTGCCGAGAGTTTCTTTGCCTGGGGCATTTGGTGAAAGTAAATAGTTACAAAATTCTGAGCAACTCAGTCGTACTCTGTTATAGAAAAATGATAGCAGATTCTTTCAGGAAATGTGGAGTTGCTTGGATTTTGGTTATCTCAGCCAGTGGTGCCCAGAAAGAGGGCACTTAAGGAAATATTTGAGGTCATGGGGCAAATCGGATGCCCACAAACACAGATGCACACCCAGCCACATGCTCACTACAACAAGCAGCCCACACGCTCCCATTACTGAGAGGTGTGCTACAGCCCCTTCTGACCCACAACCTCCCAGGGGGAAGGCAGTCAGCATGCGTCAGTTCAGCTTATTCATACTGATATAGTCATTAAACTACCAACAACCCATGCACGTGATAATATACACCTGGTAACATAACACAGAGAAAAACAACACACTTTCCTGCTCTCACACTAGTGTCACCCACAAACACAGCTCACACTTGAACAAGCCCACGCTGCTGGGCAGAGGTTTGAGTCCTGTTTGACCTCAGTTCCTTGGTGAGGTCAGGCATCTTCTTCTCCAGCAGTGGAGACAAGAGTCTCACTCCTGATGCTGCTCTTTCATCCTCTCACCAGTGATGCAAGTATTTAAGATCCCAAGCTTGAATCAAGGGTCCCTAATCACATGTTAGGAGGCTGGTAACTTGGTCTACATGGGCTAAAACAGAACCCAGATTGGGTCTAACTCTGGAAAAGAATTAGGCTATGAGTCAAATACACAAACAACTGTCAAACATCATGAAGACAAGCATACACACACCCACACATACAGACACATACACCCATGAACAGAGAGATACTCATACGCAAACCCACAAGTACACAGGCAGATCCATCACCAAGTGCAGATTTCCAGCTCCCTTTGACCTGTGATCCTCGTTAGTGAGTTCAGACACCTTCTGCCCCAGACTGGTGCCCAAATCCTCAGCTTCTCTTCAGGAGACTTGATGTTCAGAAGAAAAGAAGAAATACTTGTGGCCTCAGAACTTCTACAGACGTTCATATTCCTTAGCAATCTCCAGAGTAATGAACAAAAAGATAACATTTTAAGTACCAGCCAGAGGACAGAAACAAAGTCCCCAGGCTTCTAGGTCAGGGAGGATCCACCATTGTCTAATTGGCCAATTGGCCAATTTTTACAGCCCTTTGGAGAGCTGCGAGTCCAGGAACTAGAGGGGACTGGAGTCCCAGGGGACTGAGTCTCTGACGCCAGCAATGCCTTTCTTCATGGGCATGGTTCCAGCTGGGACAAAGGATTTTTTTTTTTTAAAGATTTAATAATGGCTTGTTTACAAAGATGTTGGCAAGTGTAAGGGAAACTATTAAAGGATGATAAGGCACCCAGGGCTAGCAACAGTGGGAAACAGGTACAAGGCAAGGGAGTGGTTATGTGAACCTGGTGGGACTTGTAGGGGTAGGAGAGGAGCCCTGAACAGGAACTGTGGACAGCCACGGTCAACCCACAGTCCAGCAGGGAGGAAAATAGAATAAATGCCCCAACCTCTCTCTCCTTCTGCATTTGATCTCTTGCTTGTGTTTCCATTAGCCCAAACCAAAGGCCCAGGAAACCCAGTTGGTGCAGTCCATCAAGGTCAGACTCCTGAGACAAAAGAGGCTGGAGACGGCTGGAGAATGGACCTGGAGGGGCAAGTGGAGACTATGTAGCACACTTTTGTATTGATAACATTTTCAAGTTACATATTTGTGTGTTGGTTTGTGAACAGCAAATATGCTGATATGTTTTATTCTACAGACATGCTTCTTTTCTTAGTGTAAAATACCTCTACAGTTTCATTATGGAGATTGTAAACTCTTCAAGACCATCGATGACATTTTATAGAATTGCTTTCCTATGTCCTGCCCATGGTTCAGCGGTTCTTATTCTGTCTCTGACAGGGGCTACAAGGAGAATATTTTAGAAGATCATAATTGTCTGCCTAACCTTTAAATTTAGTGAATGATCTGTAGGATGTTCTATCCTCTCTTATTGAGTAATTATGGACAAATAATTTTTTAACTTTTTATTTTGAAACCATTTAAGACTTACAGAAAAGTAAAAACTATACAAAAAATTCCCATATGCCTTTCACCCAGATTCCCCAAATGTTAATATTTAACTATGTTTTCATTCTTATTATGTAGATAAGCATGTATCTCAAATTCAGGTTATAGATCTTTGGCAGGTACACCACAGTGCATATTATCAGAAGGCAACTGATATCATTTTTTCCAATTACTGGTGATTTTAATCTTGCTTAATTAAGTTAGTGTCTACCAGATTTCTCTACCATAAAGTTACTATTTTTATCTTTGAAATTAATAAATATAACAGGCAAATATTTTTTTTTTTTTTTTTTTGTGAGGATGATCAGCCCTGAACTCACATCCATGCCAATCCTTCTCTTTTTGCTGAGGAAGATTGGCCCTAAGCTAACATCCATGCCCATCTTCCTCCACTTTATGTGGGATGCCGCCACAGCATGGCCTGATAAGCGGTGTGTTGGTGCGTGCCCGGGATCCGAACTCTGGGCTGCCAGCAGCGGAGGGCATGCACTTAACCGCTATGCCACAGGGCCGGCTCCCTACAGGTAAATATTTTGAAACTATATAAACATTTTGTTTCTTATTAAAATTTCAACCACTATACATAACATCATACTTCATAAGCATGAGGTGATTTTTCCTGAAACAATTATTGTAATTGTGGTGGCCAAATGACCAATTTTTAATTCCATTAATCATTCTACATGCATTAGTTCTCTGTAAGAGAGATGTTTCTCTTCTCTTTCATTTATTTTTTATTAATTTATTTATATCACTGTGGATTCATAGATTTTCATCTAATCTCTGAGTCATAATACACTATGGCTGTATATACACATAATACATATTCACTTTGAAGCCAAAATTATTCCAGGTTTGGCCATGGGGAGCCCCTTTGGGTTGGCTCCTGTGTTCCCATGGGTCATTGAGCACTTTCTTACTTTCAGGCTCGGGAAAATTTTCCCAAATCATCTTTATATTTCCAAGCCATGGCCCTGGAATCAGCCATCCTTCTATGTAACGTGTGTTCCTTTTAGAGAAGAACGGTATTTAGAAAGAAAATTTGTTAGATGTGTTCATTGCTTACAAGGCTTCATATATATAT